GCCAGCCTCGAGAGGCTGGTTCCCTTAGTAGATTTTCTGGTAGCGTGGAAACTTCTACCAAATATCTCAAAATGGGTCTTGCAGATTGTAGAGTAAGGTTACAGAATCCAGTTCGGTTCTCGTCCGCCTCGTTTCAACGGGGTCATCCCCACACTAGTAGGCCCCGAGCAGGCTCTGGTAATGGAACAAGAAGTAGATACTCTCTTGAGGAAGGGGGCCATAGAACGTGTTCCGCCTCTCTCGAGAGCGTCCGGCTTCATACAGCCGTTACTTCATCGTTCCGAAGAAGGATGGGGGGTTGCGTCCGATCTTAGATCTCCGTCTTTTGAACCGCGCTATCAAACGGCTTCGGTTCAAGATGCTCACTATCAAGCAGATAGTATCTCAAATCCAGTCCGAGGACTGGTTTTTTACAATAGATCTCAAAGACACTTATTTTCATGTTTCCATCCTCCCTCAACACTGGAAGTTCCTAAGGTTTGCTTTCAGGCACGTCTGTCTCCTGCTCGAATCGAGTCAATCCTCACGACTGTCACGAGAGTAAGAGAAGGCCAGTCACTCACTGTCAAACAGTTTCAAAGGCTGTTGGGCCTGATGACAGCAGCGTCCAACGTGATACCTTTAGCCTGCTGTACATGAGACCCTTACAGTGTTGGCTCAGAACCAAGGAATTTCCCCAGGGGGGGAATCCGCTTCGCATGATCAAGGTCACGCGGCGATGCTTACGTGCCTTAGACATGTGGAAGAAACGTTGGTTCCTGGTTCAAGGCCCGATGTTATGAGCTCCTTGTCGTCGCGTAATGCTAATGACGGATACCTCTCTCTCGGGCTGGGGAGCGGTCATGAGTGGCCGCTCTGCCCAGGGTCTGTGGGAAGGCCATCATCTCTTTTGGCACATCAACTGCCTGGAAATGCTGGCCGTGTTTCGAGCTCTGACACACTTCCTTCCAGACCTAAGGGGGCATCATGTGCTTGTCCGCACAGACAACACATCGGTGGTCTCCTACATCAATCGGCAGGGGGATCTGCGTTCGCGCCCCTTGTACAAGCTGGCACGCCAGATCCTTCTGTGGGCTCAGGGGAAGCTCCTCTCTCTAAGAGCAGTTTATATCCCTGG